CGGACCCTACAGAGTCACCAACCATATAGGTCTCGCTGAGACAACAGCCGAAAGCGTCGATGGCGAGTCGGAAGATACCCCTGTCTGGCTTACAGCAACCTGCTTCTTCTGAAGTGATCATGTAATCTACAAGATGCTGCACCCCGATGGCTGTCGCCTTCTCTAGTTGGTCCTTTGCTTGACCATTTGTAATTATACCCAGACAGACACCTTTCTTCCGCAGCCATACAAGTGTCTCGATACTTCCCGGCGTCGCTCTTCGGCTGCCGCGATAAGCTGGTCTATAGATGTCGCGCAATTCGGCAATCTTTGCGTCGTCTGGGACATCGAGGCCTAAACCCTGAACGAATAACCGGATCTTCCTGTAATCGGTTTCCTCATACGTTATGATCTTTTGGAGATACTCGTCGTAGGCTGATTGAAGCGATGTGTTGTACTGAGTGATGAGACTTGTCAAGTCGAAGCTCGCAAGGGCGGGATACTTTTGACGTATCGCTGAAATACCGCAGCTGAGTGAGTGGTGATGATCGAACAAAGTGCCATCAAGGTCGAAGAAAACTGTAACCTTGGAGGAAACTGGAGGCATATTGGATTCCGGCATACTCGGCTATGTCTCTTGGGGTTTGTAGTAACTAGAAGGTAGTAGAGAAGTCGGGAATAACAGTCGATGGAAACAGCGAGCATGACAGGTGCAGCTGTAGATGGGGAGGGAGTGCATCTGAAGACTAAGAATTTGAGTGAGTAATGGATCAAACTTTCCATGTGAGCTTGCACCGTACTGAAGGCTGGAAGTCTTGAACATTGATGGGTAGCGTGTGGCTGCTTGCAAGGTTTACGGGCACTGAGTACTTCGAACGGAAGCACCTTTGGGATCAAGATTTTAATTTTCATAGACGCCTTGTGCATTTTCTATGAGGTAGACCAGACCCTTTCTCGAGTACTTTTAGGCGTCTTCACTACGCAGTCATTCATCTAAGGCCTGAAATTTTCGACCATCAACTCTTGATATCATTATTCATAAAAGGCGTCTCAGATGTAGAAGATATTATTGGCAGTTCCTGTCCAGCTTCACAACGGCACTTTGCCCGAAAAACTACGACCAAGTTTTCCACGTTCTAGATGATGATTGGAGGCTTCTGATTTATCATGAATCTCCTTAATCTCTTGAGTTTGAGATGGAAACCATTGAGAGTGATTTCTAGACGGATTCATGCCGGGCCACCCTGCCGCCTTCTGCTTATCTTCGATAATCCAGAAGAGAGTTCATGGAATATTAATTACCGTGATGTAGACATAATTCTGTCTTCTTATTTCTTTTTTCTTTAGGCAATTTTCGGCGCTCTTGTCATTGACTTCTACATGCAGTCATTCACGGCGATGTAGCTGGCAAGACTGGACATCCCGATGACCCGGTCCAACGGACTATTATCGGAAACTGACATATATCTAACTTGATTCAAGATTGCTATATGCGAGGGTGTCTTCCGTATGATTCACAATGGTAAGTGACTTGACTACAGCTGTGCCGTCATAAGCCTTGCGAACTTAGATTCCATGGGTTACCACTGGTGCAGCTGCATGATAGGACCCCCTCATGCTGCACATCGTGATGATAGACTAACGTCAAGCCTATCTACCTCCCTGCCGGATCCATTGTTGAATCCAACGTCTCAAGAAAGGTTAGAGATGACGCCAGTGTCTTTAGTCTTGTGCGCAATGGCCTAGTACGGAGTGCCGAGGTGGAGTTTGAATTTCACTTGCGGAGCGGAGTAGTCGGGGCCCGGCCTCCAGTTGTCCCAAAAAGGCAAAGAGTCGCCGGATTTTCGGCGAAAACTTTCTCGATTTGGGTGGCAGAGTTGCTAGTCTCGACAGAGTCAGCCCGACTCAAGGCCATGCCGTTTCGGCGGGTCAACACATATCCTTTGCACGATGATGTGCGGATATGCTCGTTGTCGCAAACCCGGCCAACCACGAGCTGCATCATTCTTGGCATCCTAATCAACGAACTCCCGGGAATGGCTATGCCAAATGCAAAGAGTAACAGGGCTTCTTCCCCATGGGGGACATCGTTAGCTCTCGGGCATCTTTCCCCAGAACCTCCTGAGATGCTGCTCCCCGCACTCTGATTACATGCAAAATCATTGGATAGGCCCGTGCCAAGGTTCGCGACGGTCTCCTATCTAGAAAGCTTGGACGTGTCGAAAGTATAAAGAGTTCATCAGAGTATGTTTAGATGAATTTATGCTTTGACAAGCCTCTTGCCAGTCTTCGAGTCGCGTCACCAACTTAGAAGCTGCTACTTTGGTCAAGACAGCTGTGATTTACCTCATTCTCTTGACTGTCCTTGTTAAACGTACTTAGCCCTCATCTTCTCTCCACGACGTATTACCAGCCATGTCCGATCTGGAAAAGCGAGCCTCTCGCAGCGGCTCTCAAAGCCAAGTCGAAGATGTGAACAATACCATCCTGGCTCAGGCCGATGCGCCTATCAACTACGACAGTGATGGCATCAAGGGAATTGTGCGCTCGCCGTACGTGCTAGGTGCCGCGCTGCTTGCCTCTTTCGGTGGCTTCTCGTTTGGCTACGGTAAGGGCCCGGACTTTGCTTCTAGAGTGCGACAGTTCTGAACACCTTGCTGACATCCACAAGACCAGGGTGTCATCTCCATCATTCTCGTTATGCCACAGTTTCACGAGTGGTTTCCCGAGACTGCCCCAGGCGGCCCCAGATATGGCTTCTACACCGGGTTCATGACCGGCATGCTCGAGTTCGGGGCCTTCATCGGCTGCCTTTTCCTCCCGTATCTCGCCGACAAGATCTCTCGCAAGTGGGCTCTGACTATTGCAACCTTCTTCTTCTGCGTGGGCGCTATTATACAGACCGCTGCTCACAACTACGGAACGCTTGTGGCGGGCCGCACCATTGGTGGCGTTGGAGTCGGGACTCTGGCAATGGGTGCGCCGCTCTACATCTCAGAAATTGCGCCCCCAAACCTTCGCGGTTCCCTCCTCGTACTCGAGTCTATCAGCATCGTAATCGGTGCCATCATTGCGTATTGGATCACATTTGCAACAAGACACATGGATGGAGAATGGGCATTCAGACTGCCTTTTGCTCTGCAAATGGCCCCGGCCCTGATGGTTGGTCTTGGAATCCACTTCTTCCCTTTCTCGCCTCGCTGGCTTGCCATGGTGGGTCGTGATGAAGACAGTCTGGGGTCTCTGACCAAATTGCGCCGGGTCCCACCAACAGACGAGCGAGTCCAGGCCGAGTGGAAGGGAATCCTGTCTGAAGTTCGCTTCCAGCAGGCCATGCTCGCTCGGGAACACCCAAGCTCCAACGCTTTCACGGCAGAGTTGAATCAGTGGGCAGACCTCTTCAAGCCCAGATACCTGAAGCGCACGACTATCGCCCTTGGTATTCCTTTTTTCCAACAGGTAATGATCCGTGATGGGCGCTGCCTGATGTCATAGTGCTGACAGCCATTTCAGTTCAGTGGGATCAACGCGTTTGTGTATTACGCGCCAACGTTCTTCGCCGCTCTGGGACAAAAGGGAGACATGCCCCTTATTCTCTCCGGCATGGTCAACATCTGCCAGCTTGTTGCCGGTATCCCCACGTTCCTTCTCCTAGATCAAGTTGGTCGCAGAAAGCTCGCCATTGGTGGTGGTTTTGCGATGGCTGTTCCCCACCTGATCATGGCTGGGGTTGTCGGCAAGTTCAGCTCGTCGTGGGATGAGCACCCCGCAATGGGCTGGTTTGGTGTCGCTCTCATCTGTAAGTTGATCCGGGTTTTTGATTGTAAATAACAATTGCTGACACGTTCTGCAGATATCTACGTCCTTTGCTATGCGACTTCGTAAGTTGACGACCACGTTTCGATATCATATTCACGTGCTGACTTGGTGCTATCTTAGTTACGGCCCTCTTGCCTGGACGTTGCCTGCCGAGGTCTTTCCTAACTCCAAACGCGCCAAGGGCGTTGGCGCTGCGACTGCCATGATCTGGCTGGCTAATTTCATCATCGGCGTTTGTGTACCAGAGATGGTCATTAAGCTTGGATGGGGCACCTATCTGTTCTTCGGATTGTTCTGTGTTGCCGCAGGTGTCTTTTCCTTCTTCTTGGTGCCCGAGACTGCCCACAAGTCTCTCGAACAGATTTCTGAGCTGTTTGGTGATAATAGCGTGGTTGAGGAGCAGGATATCCGCCGCCGCATCGTAGAAGAAGTCTGGACCGACCCCAAGTACAACTCGGTCACTGTGTCCCGGGCTTGAGTTGAGGTCAATCGAAAGAATCATGATGTAGCGATTTGATGAGAAATGTCTAGTGAAATATGAGAAGACGCGGAGCACCCAGTGCGCTTATCACAACCTGAAGTAATTGTAGTGTCATATCAAGTGATTTTGCATCTGCGGGCTCTTCTGGCTCCGTCTTGACCAAGGCATGGTGTCTATAGCCACTGTCTCGGGGGCGTCATTGTTCCACCTTTCCCCTCTACGAAACGAGGATTCGGGTGGCAGACAAAACATAGGCGCGCTGCTCATTACGGAAACGCTCACAAACACTTCACTTTACCCGTTTGCGAATAGCCAGATGAATGACTTCTGTCCAATCAGGCCTATCTAGCAGACCTTTACTGAAATGCAGAAGAGCGAAACCGACACTCATCCGAGGCGTCACGCACGGATACGGGCTGAGGGGAAACCCTAACAATTAACGTAGCACGCTTAGGTAGAAGAACATGAGAACAGCGTGGAGTAGGGCGAGTCAGGGTATGGATAGGCCGCTAACTAAGCCACGGCTAGGCCACATGCCGCTACTTTCGCCGAGTGATGTCCCTCTTTATATGTCCTCTACCGCCCCATCTCACTGAGCAGCTCATCGGCGAAATGCTGCCAACCTGAGCGCCATCCTATGCATCCCATCTCCTCTTTCCCATCATCCTTCACTCCTTAATCTTGGCCATGGTCTGATTATCCTTCTCCGGGACGGGAAGGGATGGCTCCACCACAGAGACGCGAGCGGATTGTGCCCTGCGTGAAATGCAGAGGTAAGTAGGATTGCGGGATTGCCAGTTCGATGATTGGTGATTTTTCCGTCTTGATTATCGGATATAATGCCGTCTTACACGCACCCCGAGCAAGCCGCGGAATGCGCGGGCTGAAATCCTCAACATCACCCCTTGTTTTGATTTTGGTGATGTCAAGTGAACGTCGAGAACTGATTTGATCGATTGCTGGGACACAGAAAAACATCTGAAATGTAAGACAATATCCAATTTTCCCGTCCATCGGACCTTGGCCTGGGTTGAGGTTTCACGGTAAACGTATCTGTTAATCGGTTGTATTAACCTCTCCTGAGCTCTAGGTGATGGCGACATCCCGTGCTCTCACTGCAAGAAGTCAGAGTCCCGGTGTACGCGAGTGAACAATAAATTCAGGTTCAAAAGAGTAGTTACGACTGAGAAACGATTTTCCTTCGACGTCGATCAGCCTTGGTTACAAACGACCCCGGACACTTGTAAGACCGACCCTCTCCCTCTCCACTCGTTGACACATCTCAGCTCTAACACAAATATGGCAACGTTAAGTCCAGGCTCGACCTCTCGCTATTGTCGATGAATCCAGAAAGCCATCAGAAGATACACCCTCGAAACTAAAGCATGCATCAACAGCACCGATTTCCGATACCATTCCTCAAAATGGAGAAGCAAACAACCAACACGATGACCAGATTCACGACCAAATAACCGTTGCGGCAGAACTGCTGCAGTCCATCTCACAAAGAGAACACAGTAATCCATCCGAGTCCATCGGCACGTCGAGAGTCCCTACCCATCAATCTCGACTCCGAACGAATCAGTCGCCCCCAAGAGGAGAAACAACCCCTGAAGATGTTCCTCAAATAGCGCTTGAAGATGCCATTGATCCCAATCTCGCTGCTACTCCAGCAGCCTCTTCCACAATAGAAACCCCATACTCTGGATTTTCAGCTCCCAGCCCGTCGGTCCCACGGTCGATACCAGATGGATGGGATCGAAGGACTCCTGACATTGGAGGCAGCAGATTGAGCGTACTCTCTCAGCAATGGCAACTACCTCTGGGAGATAACCGCGGACGATCATCTTCGGTATCGAGAAGCCTGGGTGGAGAGCTGCACCTTGGTCTTCAAGAAGGTTGTCTTATTCGTTGCTTCATAGAACATCTGGCTGCAGCTGTAAGTTGGGTACTTGATGCTGGACGAATTGGTCGGATACCTCTATCCCCTGACTTTGCTAACAGCTTCAACAGTTTGACACGACTGATAGGGACCGACATTACGTTACTGTAGTTCCGCAACGAGCTATGCATAATCCACTGCTGATGAACGCAATCTGTACTGCATCGGCCAGGTTTCTCACACAGATCTGGTCAAAGAAGCCGCCAAATCAGGTTATAGACTTTAATGGGATTCCTCTCCCGAATTTAGACAAAGAGTCGGCGATACACTATCACAGCAAGTCCATCTCCTATCTGATGGATACTTCGACTGATCCTGCAAACCCGTGTACGGACGATGCATTGACTGCGATTACGATTCTACGATATCATGAACAAGTAGACAGTAGGAGATTCGACGATCCTTTCAAGGCAGAACACTACTAAATGATCTCGATGTTATAGCGCACCTTACCGGAACCGATCACGAAACCTACATCAATGCTGTCCAAGCTGTCTTCCATGCTCAACAGGAGGAGACAATTGGACTCTTTAGCATCGTGTATCACCCTCCCCGCGGTCTCGACATATATGCACCGACTATGCCCTCTTTACGACATTCTGCAACTCTAATTGCCCTCCGCCAAGAAATATGGTCTGTTCTTCTCTATCGAAGACCATTTCGATTACCCCTCTACGGAACCGAAGACTGCTCCTTGTTCGAACCTGATTCCGTTGCCGACGACTTTGACTGGGCGAATCGTATTCTGGTCTGGTGCGCATACGTCGTCAAGTTCTGCTTCGGTGCGAATTCCGAGGGCACTGTTGAAACTGAAGATCCGAAAATAAGAGCCGATCAATGGAAAGCCATCGAGGCCTTTCAGCATAATTGGGACACGCACCAGCCACCTCACTTCAAGCCCCTTGCCTACCAAGAGCGAAACCCGGAAATGGGGGAGTACTTTCCCACAGTATGGCATGCCAATGATTGTCAGGTGCTGGCCCTCCAGCACATTGAACTCATGCGAATCGTCTTGGCTGTGCACGGGGCCAAGAACAAACGGCTGGGCATCGGCGCGCAAGCTGCAAACCAGGTGCTGGAGGAGACCCTGAGGGAGTCGACCAGGAAGATTTGCGGTTTAGCTATCTCGAATCGGAAGGATCAACCATCAATGGTCACAGCTGGAGTCGGTGTGTCGTTGTGTGGGGAGTACTTCCGTGACGAAGGGGAACAGAAAGCTGTAGTTAGCTTCATGGATATGCTTGAGACGATGCATGCCTGGCCTACGAGCTCAGTGGTAGATGCTTTGAGGACGGCCTGGAGTACGCACACCAAGGTGTGAGGCATTATCAGTAGGCAATTCATACGACTGAATATTATTGGCAAGTCACATCAATGTTGTACCTGAACCATTTGATCAGGTGGCTCTTTGGCATGGATATCTGATGCACTTTGCAATCAACATGCAATGGGGAGAATAGGCAAGATTGCCGGTCAAACTATGAGTTCACAGATCTCTTTCGGTTTTTGCGCCATTTGGTCCCAGCAAGCGGGGCAGCAAGTTTGCTAGATACCATGCCGTTTGCCGGCTTTCGTCTCTCTGTTTCTCGATCAACAACCCCAGCTCGAGCCCTTTCCTCCAGGGTGGTAGACTATTGATCATCTCCTGAACATTATTTTCAACTCTCACACACTAACCACTGCAACCGTGATGGAAGAACTCTACCCGGAGACCATCATCATCATTATCGTGGCGAAGCTTCTGTTGAGGCGTTGAAGCCCGAGGCTATTGGCACCGGTAATGTCTGCCAACCATGCATTTTCCTATTCGAGTCAAGATACCTGAAGCAGATAGTTGTCATACTATTGTCAAGGTTCTGGGACATATTAAATGCACATGAGTGAGAAATTCGCATGAACGCTCGTAACAAAGTCTAACAAGCTATCTACACTCTTCCTACTTTGACTCGACATCACCTCTCCACTTCTTGAACTGCCGCGCGGGCAGCTTGATATTAAACATATGGTCAATCTCCATCACGCTTCGTCCCTTCATCTCTGGCAAGAAGAACCAAGAAAGCAGGACTCCTAAAGCACACAATCCGACGTAAATAAAGCCCGTCTTTCCTCCCCAGTTTCCGGCGTCCGGGTTGTAGGCGAGAGGAAGAAGGAAGTTGATTAACACAGACGATCCTTGCTGAGCAACGCCGCCGATACCCTGTGTCTTTGCTCTCAACCTCAACGAGCTCGTTTCGCCCATGATCGCATAGCCGGCAGGCCACGCGCCCATACCACAAACAATGATGATGGCGATGCACCCTCCGGCGGTGAAATACGCGACTGCAGGTCCTCTCCATATGCCAGAGATACCTACAGCAATCCAGAGTACAGTAGAGATTGACATCGAGATCAGTGTGACCTTTCTACGTCCAACTCTCGATAGAACCCACAGGCCAACGCCATTTGCGAATGTGCCAGCAACGATGCCACCGATCAGGATCATGAGACTGGTGCTCGACTTCATGCCGATGGTCTGCAAGAAGTAGCTTGACTTGGCAATCAGGTCGAGGCCAAACATCGCTGGGAGCAAGTTGGCCATGACGACAATCATCGTTCGTCGAGTATTGACGCCCTGGAAGCAGGTCAAGTACGTCGCTCCCGATGTAGCCTCCTTCTCTTCCGCAATGCTAGCCCGAACCTTCTCTAGGACCTTCAATGCATCCACTCTAGGTGCATAGAGTTTGCGTGAGGATTCGAGAGCTCTATCGGACTGCCCGCGTTCTTCGAGATATGCGGGACTTTCGGGGATGATGACCGAGAGGATAAAAGGAACAACTGCGAGAAGCCATTGGGACCCAAAGGCGACGAGGTATCCGGTCCTGTTAGGTGCTTTGTTGACGAGGAAGACGACAATCGATCCCAGCAGTTGACCCAAGAGATTTCCCGTCGGCACCAAGCCCATGACCGAGGCGCGCAGAGATGTCGGCGCTGTCTCGGAGATGTACGTCATTGCGGTGACTTTGAGTATTCCAATGGCAATTCCTTGAACCGTCTTGCCGGCGAAGAAGAGGGCTCGCATGGTCTCGATATCCGCGGGGAGGTAAGAGAAGAAAATGCCTGCGACGCCAACAGCGCAAATGATAGCACCTGTCCGTAAGCTCCAAATGCGCCCGATGCGATCCTGATACCATCCTGCAAAGACGGAGCCGATGGCCATGCCGAGGGGAATCGCGGCCGACCACAGCGACACCCAGAGTGATGGAATGATCCATTTGTCCTTGTAAAGTTCTCCATAATCGTGCTGGAAGGGCTCGACGGCGACGATGGAGCCGACAATCACCAACGCGTAACCCCATCCGATGACGACGATTGTCAGGGACAGGCAGTACGCTACGACCTTGGGGTACTGGCGAATGGCCTGGCCCAGAGGCAGGTCCTTTTCCTCCTCTGGCACATTCGTGACAGACGTGGTGCTGATTGACTTCATGAGAGGGTTCGTTGACTCGTCTCGGACGCGACTGGTTTCGCCTGGCGCAAGATCTCGTTCTCGTCCGCCCCTCGTCTCAATTATGTAGGACGGAGAGGGCGACTCCGTCAACTCGATGTTGTTGGTCGTGATCGACCCCCTGTCGCCAGGGCTGATCTTATCGTGAAAGGGGTTCATCGCTTAGCAAATATTTGCCAAAACTTTAAACGGGCGAATGGGGTAGACAGAATTAGGTATAGCTCCGCGCAGAGTGAAATGAGATTTGACAATGATTTGCTGTGTGTTCCCCCGGCAGTTATTTGCGCAGCTTTCTGGAGTATGATTGTGCGTTGGTCGGCGAGAACAATGGTAAGAGGTGGTGTGATGCCTTTCCATTCGGGATTCCAGTCTTGTGATTTGAACAGACTGGGAGCTTTTAAAGAACCCAGAATTCCTTCTTTACGCTAACATGTCCATCTTTAACGTGTGCAATCTGGCAAACGACTCTCAACGAACATTTGCGGTGGCATTGCTGTGAAGGATTGAAGACTAGGAGATGCCATGGCGCAGCAACACGGGTCAGCGACGTTGAAGTCCCCAACGGATTCAACTACGATCGCCAAGCTGGAGTTGACGACGCTCTTGACTCTTCCAGCTAGCACGTAGAAACTCAGATCCTTCGACTGACAGTGGTCCAGATATCCAAGTACCCCCATTCAGTCGTCGTCCGCATAAGAAAATAAGCATTGTGGCATTCTAAGACGATGCGGGGGCGTGCGACAGCGCGGCGCAGCAACTGGCGCGTTCCTCTGCCGCTGCCATGCTGGACCATCGCCGCTCGCGCAATGTGCACTTCTTCCGACGGGTACGGGAACGGGAACGGACTAGAATCTTAGATCCAACTTCCAAGGCCCACATGTTTGCTAGCTGCCGTTATTCTTCGATCCTTCTAGGCTCGAGCCAACGGTGTTACTCTGATTGGAAGCTCAGTATGCGCCAATCTACACCACCAGCCCCCTACGGACACGGATACGGGGAGCCCGTCTAAGCCACATACATATTGACTACGGTCCCAAACGTACGCGAACACACTTGATCAGAATGATGCACCGAGACAAATGCGTCGTAATCCTATCTTTCACTCATATGCCCGTAGGAAATTGGATATGATCCGCTGGCATTGACGGAGAATATCGATAATCCCGGATCACCGAAGGGTCAGAGGATTGGAACAGGATTCAACGACTTGGTCGACGATATTCCATGCCTCTATTCGACTGAGACCTGATTTAAGAGCTGGTCTTAGGATCATCAAGGATCGTTCTCTTGTCTAAGAGAGAATCCCGTATCAAAAACACCCATACATCTCAATTCTGAATGTCGATTTTGTTGAAGCACCGAACAAATACCACACCCTCAGCATGAGTTCTGTTCTCGAAGAGTCTGCAAGCATGGGTCCACACCCTCTCTGCTACATCGTTACACCAGTTGGGTGCATGGGGTATGGCCTTGACGAGGACGCTTGCGGCAAGGAACTCGCACAACTCGTTCCCAGCGGCGTTCCAACGGCTATTATCCTAGACGCCGGATCAACTGATAGTGGCCCCGAGAAACTGGCACTTGGCACCATGACTTGCCCTCGTTCAGCCTATGTCAGAGACTTGACCAAGTTGCTGAAGCTCGTACATGACTTTCGGGTTCCATTGGTCTTCGGCTCTGCCGGAGGAGATGGCTCCGACGAACATGTGAAGTTGATGGAAGAAATCATTGAAGAGATTTGTGCAGAAGATAGCAACTCGTAAGTACTGCCTTACCCAAAGCTACATTCCTTGGCTAATGGAACAAGGCAATACTCGTTCAAAACTGTTTCAATATTTTCTAGTATCGACAAATCCGTCATTCTCGAACGACTCAATGTTGGGGGGATCTCCGGCTGTGGCGTCTGTGTGCCCCCATTAAAGTCCAAAGATGTCAAAGATTCAACTCGCGTTGTGGCACAAATAGGCCCCGAGGCGTTCGTTGATGCCATGGAAGCCACACCCGACTTCGATATCATCATCGGCGGAAGGGCATACGATCCCGCTCCTTATGTTGCATACTCCATGTACCAGCTCAAACGTCAGAACCCAGGCATCACTTACGACCAAATTGAGTCCATACATGGCGGCTTTCTGCACATGGGCAAGATCATGGAATGTGGCGGGCTTTGTTCAACACCCAAGTCCCACGGCGCTGTTGCTACCGTCTACGAAAGTGGCATGTTCGACGTCAGACCAATCGCGCCCGGTTCACGTTGCACGCCACTGTCAGTAGCCGCGCATTCATTGTATGAGAATACGAGGCCTGACATCCTGCGAGGGCCCGGAGGTGCTCTTCATCTCGACCAGGCACACTATGAGCAGCTCAGCGATCAGCGTACCGTCCGAGCACGTGGGGCGCGCTTTGTTTCGTCAATCGCAGATGGCAAACCATATCAGTTCAAGCTAGAAGCCGCACGCGTTCTTGGCTATCGATCCATTGTTCTTGGGAGTGTCAAAGATCGTAAGTTGGCGTTGGTCTTAGAAGAGTTGTTGCCCACATTCAACAGGCTTGCAGGACTGACAATGCGCAGATATACTCATTGAGCAATTGGACGACTTGCTCATTCTTGTCAAAGCCTACGTCAAGCAGCAACATAAAAATGTGTCCGGTGACTGGGATCTAGACTTCCACACTTATGGCAAAGGGCAGAGCACGCCCAGTGGTCCCGGGGAGATATTCATCGTCGCGGAAGCAATTGCCCCGACACAAGAACTTGCGACAGGTCTCGTATCGACAGCGAGAATTGCATTGATTGTAAGGATGACTCTATCACATAGTCCCAATACTTTCTAACA